TCTTGGTTTCTTAGTAACATTAGTAAATGTTACCTTTGTCTCTTGGTATTTTACTTACTAACGTTAACAAGAAACAAAGATAACATTTACTGACATTAGCAAGAGATCAAGTAAATGTTACTTTTTAGCTACATTAGCATTGCTAACATTAAAACCCTGTTTGCTGGTTATAAATTATTTGTTTGGCTAACAGATCAATACTGGTGAGAGCTAGCAATCAGCATTAACTTAGAACTCAGCTAGTCCGTTACCTGCTAGCTAACGGTAAAGTTTCTTAGTCTACTAACTTTTTGTAGTTTTAGTTGACCCCTATGTAAAAAATCCATCCTCGTGAAAGTGGTACCAGTCTCTCTGGTCTCTTGGGTCTTCTTGGTGAAGCTAGTTGGTGCTGAACAACTGACGACCAGTAGCTGTCCAATAGTGATGCTTGTAAACAATACCCAGCTAAGATGAGTTATGACCTAGTGTCACCTCTTCTGTTTTACACCAGTGAGCATTAGTCACAAGTATTCAAAAAGTAAAAGAGGCTTTGAAGTTGTTCAATATGAAATAGAAATATCCCACTGTGGATAAAAATGTATGCACAATGACTTGTATCCAAGAAATGAATTATCGTCATATCACATTTTTGTGATCTATCAGGCCGAAGTTAAAAACTTTAAGCTGACTTATGTATTACCCTGAGATATAGACTGGTGTGTATGTAATGGATGCAACATGTAGATACGTTGTTATAACTGCACTAACTCTTCAAATGTCCTCACTTCCAAAGGTCTTTGACAGGGTGTAACAGGAGCCTTGGACTGACGTGAGCCATGAAGACCCAGAAGGCCCAAGGTAGTACACCACCTTCACCTCCCTGCCGTCAGAAGTCTCGCTTCACCTTACGAGGCAGAAAGAAGGTCGGGGTGATCCAAGGGAAACTCCGCATCCGCTCCATACCTGGAGCCTTCCTTGTGCTGGGGGTCATCGTGGTGGTTGTTGGCACCGCTCTAGCTGTGGCAGGATACTGGCCCTACTGTATACCGAGAGCGTCCATCCTGGGAGCTGCAGATGGCGAAAGTTTCTCTGAGTCGCAGACTTCTGGGTGGAGTCTGGGAGCCAAGGGCCTCCTATCCACAGCCAGCCTCGTCCACAGTGAGCGGATGAAGCTGCTGGGGCCTGTCATCATGGGGGTGGGACTCTTCATCCTCATATGTGCCAACACAGTCCTGTATGAGAACAGGGACAGAGAGACTCAGATGCTGATGGCTCAGATGCGCAGTGTAATCTGCTCTGTGTCTGCAGCGGTTCCCTCAGCAGACCTTAAAGAAATAGCAGCAGCCAACTCCATGGCCAAACACTACCAGTGCGTGAGCAGTTTACCAGCTGCCCATCTCAACATCCTCTGTCTGCAGCAGCTGCCCAGTTCTGAGCCACTGCTTCAGACCAGACACTCCAGAGACCAGGAGCACAGTTTGGAGGGCATCTACCAGCAAGCTGTTCTCCAGACAGAAGCCCTCCACCACCAGGAGTCAGAGCCTCCGCCCTCCCTCCACTCCTCCTACTCCAACTCACGTAATTCCAGTCAGACAGACTTTAACACACAGTCTGGTGCCGAGTACGGGGGCAGTGCCAGTTTCATTCCGCAGCCCCCCCCACTCGTCAAGCTCAACAGCTGTCTGGTGTCTGCCAGCTCTATGTCCACGCTGGATGAGGTAGATATGCCAGCTATCCAGCCGAGGCGCTGCCACAGTATGAGTTACAGGACTAACCCGTATACAGCTGGAACTGGTGTGCCGGATGGACACCATGCACCGGGGGAGGAGGGCGAAATGAATCAGCTGGTAGTCACAAGAGAGACTGGTTCACAGGTTTGCGTGAACATCCCTTGGCAGGTTGTGGAGGCTGCAGAAGAGCAAACCCGCCGAAGCTGGCCTCGGCTAGACCTGGGCAGCAGCAGACGATATCTGAAACTAGAGAACAAAGAGGACTCAGTGGACAAACTGCTGGACCAGTTAGAGCAGCAGTGTTTTCAGTGGGATAAGAATTTTGGCTCTGGGCCTTTCCAGTGATTGGCTGCTCTCCACAGCAGTACAATCACTCTGATAACAAAGGATCATAAAGATATTTTCCTCTGGATTCTATAACTGCACTATATTTAGTTTGTCCTGTGTGGGGTGGAGAGAAACCAAGCCCCGGATTATCTGGAGTACAGTATTTCTCACAAGGATCTTCCAAAACATGAGCTTGTTCTCAATCTTCAGTGGAATATTGATACACAGGTCTTAGCTTGGATTCCGATTGGATTTGGTCAGTGGCGGGCCTTGCATTTTATACCTGGGCCTTCAGTGCTGTCCTGCAGCTGAAACACCACCTAATAACCTCATTATGACGCCACAGCTACGTTTATTTGTTTCTAGGGGTGTAACAATAGACGTATTCGTATTAAACCGTTCGGTACAAGGCTTATGAACCGAACAATACGTTTGAATAATACTAGTGCATTTGGAAAATTCAGAAGCTTAAATTGTGGGAAATATAATGTTCTTTCGGTGGACTGCGCTCATGTAGGAGACAACGGGCTGTGACCTCTGAACCCGGAACAATAACAAAAAACAGCTGAGGCCCCGAACTTCTGGGAGGCTACGCTAAACTAGCTTAACAAACAATAACTCCGCGCATGACGGTATGCTTCGTAATTAACGGACAATGCATATAGTCCAAATCTATATAATTAACACAATGACAACAACAAACTCACAAGAACCAGTCACATATATTCATATGACAACAAAGCAACAAATCAATTCAGCAGACCTGCAGACACAAATTCTGCTACACACTCGAGGGCCATTCAGATATTAGATATAAAGAAACAAACGCAGTTGACTTACCAAATGCTGTTCACTTAAAGACAAACTCCATCCTCCTTTCTTTGTTGACAAAGAGTTTAATCCCACGGTTAAATCCCAACTCACAAATCCGTTTCTCCTCCTTCCGCCATTGAGTGTTAAAAAAACAAAGCTAGGTAAAAAAAATAATAATGTACACCAAGCAAAATGCAAGAAATGTCATCATTTCTTCCATATCTTTCAATTTGAATTCTTACTACTCCGACTAAGCCTCTGCTTAGGTTTCGTTTTCCAATAGTCACGTGCTCGCCCACTGACCAATCACAGCACACGCTGCACCTCACTGCAGAGCTGCACCTGAAAACTGAGCTGCATGTAATGATGACGTACTTGTAGGCCAGCTAGCAGGCTCTGACACGTCAAATAATACGCCCAACATGTCAAACTAAAGATCTGATTGGTTGAAGACTATGACAATCAACAATATCGTCCCCATTCACTTAAACTGCACATGGATTCACTTGTGAGTCTGCAGGCCTCGGGCCTCTCTTCTTACCTGGAGACACAGAGGTGAGATCTGATTGGATAAAAGCTCTACTTAAAACAAGCTGCACTGGAAGCAGAGCAACTGAGGAAGACAGTAGCTGTGCAATGAGAAAATAAGCTAATGGGAAAATATTTAAAATACATGTAGTGTGTTTATGAAAAATTATTAAATTATAAAATAGCTATAACTTTGTGATTCTGTCTAGGCCAGCAGAGAAGGCCTTGCTGGCCCTGACGGCCCACCACTGGATTTGGTAGATGTTTTTTATATAATTGAAGGAACAATATACAGGCCCTACACTGTCACAGCTGAGAGAAGCAACTTGACAGATTGTTTACTTCTGCAGTTTGGGTTGGCAGAAATGCGAGAAATCAACTTGTATCTCAATGCCAAAATGGGTTTGCCTGTTTCCAGGACGCACAACCTAGTGTAGCAGAGATAGGAAGGGGATTGTTTTCACTGTGCTATCAATTCTGAACCAAACTACCTGGACTCCTGAGTCCATAAAGTGCTGACAGCTCTTGACAAATGCAACTAGTATATATATAAATGGGATTTATTTCCATACTCCAATGCATGGCAGTGGTGTACAGTATGTTACATCTTAATACTTATGCAGAGAATGTCACTGTTGGTTTTGTGTGTATAAGAAGCAATGATAGTTAAAGGAAAACTCTGGATTATTACATCTTGGGTCTTAGGTTTGCTCTTATTGTTCCAGTATCGGCTACGATAAAATGTTTCTCCCAACTTTCTCCCAAAGATGGCTGAGATGTGGGAACACGATGATATTACTACATCTGTCTCAGAACTGGGGTGGATGCTCTGGATGATAACCAGTATAATAGCCACTGCTTTCACTACTACCAACACAGGCACACACACACCCATGTATGAGCATCTCCAGCACGCAGGACTTGAGCTCCAAATCCCCCTCACACACGTGTTAGCTCATATTGCAGTTATGTTCATTATTTTGCTTTATTAACACAATCTGTTTGTCTCTGTGTACACAGTTTGTTTATCTCGGGTGAAAACAAAACCATATGGCAATAATGATTGAATAAATACAACTTCACCCTGCCGCCGTGCTGAGCTACAGCTACAACCACACAGCTAGACAGCAGAAAATAGTACCTGGACCACCAGGGATGAGGTCTGCGTCAGTGAAAGCTGCTGTCTGTGTCCTCCATGTGATGACCTTAGGCTAGGCTGTTTAATCCTTGACATTTTGTAAAAAGGAATATTTCCCAATCATAAGGAGATGACCCTGTTCGGATACGTTGACTGTAATCCACTACTGGTTAGGTCTGACATAAGACCTGAGGTCTAGCAGCTCATCACTGTCCCATTCTGTCTCCAGCTCCCATCTGTGTCGTCTTTTCTTTCTAAGTGACATGATGTGTTTTACATGGTAAAAGTGCATCAACACTTGACATTAGCATTACTTCTTTAAGTTAACTTTATTTTAAGTCTCCCTATTAAGCATTTATAAGCAATATTTAAACAGTTAATGAATGGTTTATAACAGTATAATGTAAACAGATATAAGTGTTTATTAATGTATTTGTATACAACTGCTGTATAAACAGATAAAGAATGACAATAGTGAAGGACGGTTGTAAAAGTATAAAATATGTCTTCAGAGAAGTATTAACAATACTGTAGTTTAATTAGCCTGTCCTTATGTACAACTACATTATAGTGTAAATCTTATACTGCTTATAAATGCTGCATAAAAACCCAGTCACCAGAATAAAATGTATGCTTCTGCAAACCATGGATACGTTGAATGTTAACGTGTCCGTTTTTTTCCATTCATGTTTTTTTGTCAGGACAGAGGTCCAAACAGTGATTCCACGTCATATATTCCCGTCTGCCCGTAGCTGTACATCTACCGTATAGTGTTCTAACTCTCACGCGTTTTGAAACTGCATTCTCAATAATGATTCGGTTCAGTAAAAGATCACGGTTTAGGTTCAAATAGGTATGCTACTTTTGATTTCACATGAACACCAGTGTCCTGTGTTTGACCCATCCATCGACCTCCTCACTACACATTCTGATTGGACAGATCTGTGAAGCGTCAAAAACGTCACAGACATTCAGTTGTCATATTTATGAGACCAGGCAGACAGAACCTGTCTGATGTGATGACTTCTCCTGTTTCATGACCTGTCTGACTTCTTTGTAGTGTTCTCTGTGTTCCCAGATCTCAGATATTCACTTGGTGATTACAATGTTATTATTACTCATAAGAAGGAGGGCCAAGACCCAAGTTGTAAAAACCCTGATCCTTGATAATGAAGGAGCTTCTCTTTGTTGTCCTTCTTGTTGCCACAGTAGTAGCTAGCAATGAACCCCCCCCCATGCTTTTGTGATGGATAGAATGGATTGTGCAGCGAGCTGCACTTAGATTTAGTGAGTTGAGTGGCATTACTGCACACAGCTGGGTATGTGTCATAGAGGAAGATAATGTGAATCACAGTTCCTTGTCCTCCCTCCTCTCCTTTAACACGTGTGCAGATGTGCACACGTCTGAAACAGTCTTACTCTGGTGTTCTGTCTGTGCTGCCTGTTCTGTATGCCATGTGTGAAACTTTGTGTTCTAAATGTATACCAAGCAATATGAGCGGTCTGACAGAACAATCAATGGCTGTCTTTCCCTGTGTCCACTTCAGAATTAAACCAAATTGCCATGCCTGTGTTGCAAGTCAACGGCAAAGCAAAAGCAGCTCCTGTTTGGTGTCGTCTCATTTATTCAAGCTGTGGAGGTAAAGGCACCTGGTTGCTTATGTATGCAGCATATGATCATCTCCCGGCCAGCTGCTGACGACCCCATCCCTCACCCCAACGGAGCCTTTGTGTTTCATCCATATTTCTCTGGACCAGTGAGGCATCACGTTCACTTTATGACCCGATGAATAAAAAATGCGGCAAATTGAATTTTTTCCCCTCCTGCTCCACAGCCCCACCTCGATATTTTGAAGCGGTCCTGAGCAGGGGGTCAGGGACTGAGTGGAGTGGCAGGGGGAATTCCCCAGCTGCAATTATCCTCAGCAGAGCCTCCTGCATGCTCCAGATTTTACCTTCTTAGATTTTATGGTTCCTTCTGGGCAGGAATGCAGTCCCTCGCGATCTCTTTTCATTTAAATGTTCATTTACAAGACGGCTTCTGGGTTTCTATCAGCTCATAAAGGGAGCTGGCAGCACCTCCTGCACTCTGCAGCTGAAGCACAGGAAGGTGGAGGATTACATGGCTGTGATGTGAAAAAATCTGGGATCATTTTACAGCCGCATGTTCAAGCTTTCACCACACTCAAAACAGAAAGAGGTTTCTGGGATTGGGGATGTTCACAATTAGTTGACTAGCACCAGAAATACTAGTCGGTTCCACTTATTATTAAGATTATAATTATTTTATTCATTTAGATTACATATTGACATAATTTGCACTGACATGTTATCTTAATCAAATGTTGCTTTACATAACAATCATCTACTAATGTTAACAATGACAGATTCAAATCTCTCACACCTCGGTGTGTTTGTGGGACAAAGATTAAATCTCATAAATGTTGGTGATTGAGATGCTTCTCTCTGTTGAGTGAACCCGGGATGAACGCTTGCGTATTTCCAATCATGTGCTGCATGAAACATAAAGAACTACATTATTCATATGTCTGTGTACATGATTTGTGAAGAGTGGTGCGAGCAGATGAGCCATTGGGTCACAAAATGATGATATTACATCTTTAATATGTAGATGTTTGGAGACAATCATGGTCCAGTATGCGTATTGAAATGAACGACATTCTTTTAATATTATATTTTGTAAGTTGATTTTTGTGGGAAAACCTTATGAGGCACAGATTATCCAAAGCAGAGAAATGTTCTAGCCCTGAAACATGTTTGGAGTTAATCTTTGACAATTTCATGCATGCATTCAACCATCTATGTGACGGGCGTGATGAATGAGCATATTTATTTACAAAATAA